TTGTTTTTTGTCTGTTTGTGCCTCAGATGTTTGACATCATGAAGCAGCATTCAGCTGTCCTGATCAGCAGCATGAAAAAGAAAGCAGATAAAGATGAACCTCTAGAGCTGAAAGAGTGAGAACTCTCATACTGTTTTCATTTAAATACATCAGAAAAAGCGCAGATTCATCTCTTCTAAGTCTGCAATAATAAAGGTCATGTTTGATGTGTTTGTGTGGTTTTGCAGGTTTTTCGGACCCTACAGTATGGATGTGGTAACCAGCACCGCCTTCAGTGTGGACATCGACTCTCTCAACAACCCCTCAGATCCTTTTGTCACGAACATCAAAAAGATGCTGAAATTTGACTTTTTCAACCCCATCTTCCTCACTGTTGGTAAAGTATTCGTTACATTTTTTATTTTTTATTACTGCAGCTCATGCAAGATCATCAATGCAGCTGCTGTCCTTCATCTTCCATTAATAAATGTCCTCTTGTTTGTTTAATTTCAGCCTTCTTTCCTTTCATGGTTCCCATATTGGAAAAATTGGAGTTTTCCTTTTTCCCTGCATCTGTCACAGACTTCTTTTACGCTGCACTACAGAAGATCAAGATTGATCGTGAGGGCAGCAAGCAAAAGGTACGGCTGTGAGTTTGTGTTTGTACCAATAACCTGTTCTGACATAAAATCACAGCTGTTCTCAGACTGTGTTTGTTGACTTCCAGACTCGAGTGGACTTCCTCCAGCTAATGATCGACTCTCAGCAAAATAATAATTCCAAACAGGATAAAGGTGATACACGGACACACGTCTCCACACATGGAAAAACCATCTTAAAGCTGTTCTAACGTGTATATCCCTCCTACCTCCTCAGGTCTGACAGATCATGAGATCCTTTCCCAAGCAATGATTTTCCTCTTTGCTGGCTATGAAACGACCAGCAGCTCTCTCACTTTCTTGTCTTACAATTTGGCAACAAACCCTCAGGTGATGAAAAAGCTGCAGGAGGAGGTGGATGCAACCTTCCCTAACAAGGTACGTGAGAAGTGAGAACATCTGGAACTGAATAGCAGTCTTAAAGTGAGAAAAACCTTTCTTTGATGAGATCCCACCTTACTCCAGATTTAGGCTTGACTCATCTCCCTTTTAATGCAAACACACATCCTGATTTATACACAAAAATCCATCCATTTCCTTCTATCCAGTTTAAGGTCGTGGGGTGATGGGGGCTAATCCAGCTGTCTCAGGGAGCTGTGATAGCCAAGGAGGGTTGCAAAGTGGTGTTAAAATCATTTCACAAAGACACAATAAACACAAGCTTCCTTTGCAAACAACATAAAAAGTTCACAGAAGAAGAAGTCAGCTTTTAACAATGGTAAATGGCCTGCATTTGTATAGCGCTTTACTAGTCCCTAAGGACCCCAAAGCGCTTTACACTGCATTCAGTCATTCACCCATTCACACACACATTCACACACTGGTGATGGCAAGCTACATGTAGCCACAGCTGCCCTGGGGCGCACTGACAGAGGCGAGGCTGCCGGACACTGGCACCACCGGGCCCTCTGAATGCATAATGATGAAGTTCATAATAAACCTCAAAATTTACCTATAAGAAGTTTTATGTTTTTTTCTTTAATTTCCTTTCAAGGCTGTTTTAATTTAATTTCCTTTGACCTTATTTCGTGTATTTTCTTGGATTAATTACTACATTGCAAAAGTGCATACAGACTGTCTCTCAACCAGAAATCCAAACAGCTGTTTTTAAATTGTACCACTAGAGGGCAGAAGAACTCCACAATAGGGTTGGGTGTCGTCACTGATTTCTATAATAGATTCAATTTCGGTTCACAAGGTTCCGATTTGATTCGATCCACGATTTGATTCGATTTGAATGGGGGTAAATTTTGCGTCAGACAGTCAGAAATATTATAACTCTGATCATTTATCAGTACTGGCACTTGTGACACTTCATCAGAGGTGTGACCATCACAGCAGATGCCTTTGTGTCAAAGATAAAACACAGAAAAACATGAAGTAGATTTTCCTGGCCTGGCTTTTTATAGCAGATAGCCTTAAAAATATTCTGCAGTAGATCATAAACTGAAGAAAACCTTGAATTAACATATGAACATTACCTGATGCTGCGGAAGTGAAGCAGTGCAAAGTTAGGTGTTATTTGAGACACAGGTAAGCGTTTTGCAATGATTGTTGTATAATTTTTAAAGGTTTCATATTTCTTGGGAATTAACAGCAGAAATTAGACTTTCTTGTAAGAAGTCATTTTAAAAAACTGCGACTAACAGCGCTGTAAACAACGGTAGACTGGTGGGTAAGCAAGTGAATAATGCAGAAAACAGAGATTTGAGATGGTAAACTGTTCTTGAAATACACTGAAAGAGAGAGAGCTTTGCAGGAAGCGTGATTTTTATCGTGGTGGAAGCAAAACAGCAAAGGTAAGAGGGAATAATGAGGATATTTATCTAATGCGAAGCTAGTTTTGATCTTCTTTTGCTGCTGGTTCAGTGAATTTTGGTTGGAAAGTGACAAAACCTGCACCTTCAGACTCTTTCAGCCCTGACTGCGTGTCCGTGTACCTGCTGTCGGGTGAGAAAACCGACATCTCACAGACTCTGATGAGTCGGATCCACGCTTTCTGTTTACGTCTTTGTGTCGAATCCGTTTATCTGCTCTCATTTACTGTTTTAGCTGTTTGATGGTTGTTGAAATGAAAACATTAACATGAGATTCTGGTGATTCTGGCGAAGTACATGTATATTTAAAATCTATTCAGGACATAACGAATCAGTATCCCGTTATTCAAGCTAAAATGGATTTTAATCGGAAAAGCGACAATTGAAACCCACCCCTACTCCACAAAAGTCCAGTTTGTGGGTGATATCAAGAAGTGGCTCAGAAAGACATGTTTATGTGCTTGTGTTCAGGCTCCCATCCAGTACCAGGAACTAATGCAGATGGAGTATCTCGACTGTGTCATCAATGAGTCTCTCCGATTGTTCCCCATTGCTTCACGTTTGGAGCGTGTGGCCAAGGCCAGTGTGGAGATAAATGGCTTTGTGATTCCAAAAGGTATGGTTGTCGTGGTCCCCACCTGGCCGATGCACCGGGACCCCGAGATTTGGCCTGAACCAGAGAAATTCAAACCTGAGAGGTACGGAAAGGTGTCTGATGTGACAAAGCAGAATGAAGCTCTGTGGGATATAACCCCATTTCTGTTGTTAATATACTGTGTGTGTGTGTGTGTGTGTGTGTGTGTGTGTGTGTGTGTGTGTGTGTGTGTGTGTGTGTGTGTGTGTGTGTGTTCTCAGGTTCAGCAAGGAAAACAAGGAGACAATTGATCCGTACAGCTACATGCCTTTTGGAGCAGGCCCGAGGAACTGCATTGGGATGCGATTTGCTCTGGTTGTGATGAAACTTGCAATAGTGGAGATCCTCCAGAGGTACAGCTTCTCTGTGTGTAAGGAGACCGAGGTGAGAGCCCAGATCATCTTCTCTAACTGCCATTGCCTTTTTTATCCTGTATGAAGAGCCCTGTCCCAAAATTATTCACTGCTAGTTTAATAGTGATGTGGACGATGCATCCACTGTGTATATCAGTCCAAAGATAAAAAGCCATGAACTGGCACAGCACTTTCATAAAACAATTGGATTTTACGCATTCCTACGTTTTCCATCAGCTTTCCACCTTAAGTTGTTTGGAGATCTGAAATAAGAAGGCAGAGTTTTGTGTGTATTTGTCATTTATTTTACATGTCACTTCCTTGCAGATCCCCTTTGAGTTGGACATCCAGGGTCTGCTACAACCAAAACGACCAATCAAACTGAAGCTGGTGCCACGTTCTTAACC